CCAACTCCCACCATTCTGTGATTCTGTGAAAACTTGAGAGAAAAAGAAATGGCAACTTGCCACCTCAGAGTGAGGATATTTCACTAGAAGCAAATTCAGACTGCTTTTTCATAACAGGAAAGAGGAACTTTTGCATCTATTGTATTGAATAATAATAAAATTGTTAATAAAAACTCAGAGTTAAATAGTTTAATTAAAGCCAGAATGAAAACAGGGCTGTTAAGCTATATGTTAGTAAGCATTCAGCACAAGGAATGTTTTACCTCTTAAACCGATAATAGAAGGGTACATAAATCCTGCTAAAAAGATCACACAAACAGTTAACTTAACATTCAGTGCAATTGTGGAAGTTGATCCCCCTGCTGCAGCAAGACAGCTGAAAATTTTTTTAAACCTCCTCCTGAGTCTTACCTGCCCACTGGTTTATTTTTTTTCTTGCAAACCAAATAATTGACTCACCCAGCTGAAAGCTACACCGTGTATGAAGAGAGAAAACACACTGTATTCTATCTTAGTGTAACCATTTCCTAAGTTAGTTTGAGTTATATACACTAAAATTGCATTAAAAGAACTTGCTGACAAAAAGAACAGAGTTGTTGCAAAGTTTACAAGCATCTACTGCAAAGCATACACTAACTTCAACCACGTAACTCCAGACCTCAGTAGGCAAGTCTGGAGACAATCATATTTTCATTTCTTCCAAGAATAGCACAGACCAATCTTTCCCATTGAGGAAATGCCCCCCCCATCAGGGCATTAATTACAATCCTGGCCCTCTAATACTACTTAAAGCATTTCAACATTTTATTTTACAAAACTTGAGCACAATCCACTTCCTCAGGTACAAATTCAATTAAACTTGTACATAACTCTGGTATTTAGTTTGCTTGAATTGTTTCTTTAGTCCAGTGAGAAAGAACTCCACCTACTTTATTTCAATTTTTTGTAAACTTCTTGAGCTTCATTAATTATTGACTTATGCTTTTATTCCTCTTTATTTCATTCTCAACAGGAAATGAGAAAGAATTTCCAACAGCAACTTTAAACTTTCTAGCAGCAGTGGGTAATACTGACAGTATTGCTTTATTTTCAAACACAGGTTGAGCAGGTTTGGAATGGGAGACTTACAGGAAGGTAGTTTCTTGAGACTCAGGTCATATAAGGACCTGCTAATTCTTATCAGGCCATTTCATCTTAATTGAAACTGTCAAGTAAGATTAGGCTTCACCTTTAGGCACAGAAGGCAACACAGTGATCAGAACAGATTCTGTGAGCTAGAATGTAGAGTATTACATGAAAATACTTCTGCTGATCTGAAGAAAATTTAATACTACAACAAAAGAAATTTTGCAACTGGGCTTTCTACCTCAGAGTCCATTTTCACAGTTAGAAGCAGCCTCTTCCATAAACTGGACATGTTGTTAAAAAATGAGCAGGAATAAAATTGGCTTAGATGTTCACTTTTTTTTCTCCTACTTTGAAAGTGAGAATTTTTGGCAAGCTGTTCAATGCACACAAGTATTTGATACATGGAACATTTTGTGGTGTTGGGGTTTGTTTGTGTTTGGTTTTGTTTGTTTGTTTTAACTCAATGACTAGGTCAATACAAAACCCTCATGGGACTGGCTTGATTTTAACACTGATACTGCAGACATTCCGGAAGGTCTTTGCTTTGTTGCCCTCTTCATTTCTAACTCACCATAGCTAGTTAGTTCAGTTACAGGGAACAAACCCATCTAACACAAATATCAAACTCCTATAAAAAACAAACTTACCTATACCAGGGTGGATCACAAATTTTCAGGCAAGATCAGAATCCATATTCTTGTCATGGGAACCTAGAAGATCAGAATCACTTGCAGTGCTTCCAGACTACTCTATGGTTATGTCTTCTTGTTCTTTGTCTTCAGCGGCTGCATTCTAATCAGTAACTTTTTTTTTTTAAGTAACTGTAGGTATATTCTGGTTTAGGCTTAGTGACATTTTACCACCAGACACTCACTTCAGCTCAGTCTTGGACATCTGTCTGTCCATAGACATTGTAACGCTTGTTTTCCCACTGCAAGCAGGGCATCTGAGAGAAAGGTGCAGTCAGTAACGCCTCCTGTGAATCCAATCCAGATACCAGCCACATTCATTGCTCTTTGATGGATTCAAGCAGATACATACGCTTGCAGAAGTTACTTGACCCTAGACTATCATGGCCTTTCCTCCAAAAGAGATTGCTATCAAAAAAGACAAGGCTTGCATTCTTTGAGGTTTAAAATTCATAATTAAAGTAAAACCATACTGCTAAAACCAACCCTACTTTTGCTACTAGTGTGACCTTTGGAGGCAAAGGCTGTGAAAGATCCTCCACATTCATTACAAGCTGGTAACTTCCTTCTGACTCAGCAAAGCACTATCAACAGCTCCTCAAACAGCCTGATGAAGTAAAAAAAAAAAAAAAAAAAAAAATCTACTTTCTTACAGGGATTTTTACAAGAAACCAGAAGCAAGTTGGTCTCGCACAGGAGAATTTGTTTGGAGAGCTCCTGCATAAGACAAGGACATATACTAGCTTCCTAAATCACTCTTTACAGGAAAGATTAATTCATAAGCAGACCCTCATAACAGCAGCAGCCTGCAGAAAGCTGATAATCGCTCACACTTTGGGCACGTGTCAGTTGGGTCAGACTTGGAAAGCGCCTAACCAGCACTGAGAAGCCAGAGGCATTGCTCTGTGCATTTCTGAACCCCGGTAGCCAATACCTCTGAAGGATGCCACTGAAGAACCAGGTCACAGGTGTTCAAATCCCAGTTCAGCACACGACACTGAACACCGGGACAGTGACGGTGCCCTGAGAAGGGTCAGACAGGGATGCTGTGGTTTCACCTTTGAACACATGCCATATGGGCAACTTTAAGAAACACAAAATCCAAGAATCTCCATAGTTATCAACATGACATCAAGACAAATGAGCAGTGAAGGAAGATTTTACAAGTTTGACCTAATATTTAAAGCTCTGATAAGCTCCTCAGGTACTTTCCAGTGTATTGCCTGACAAGTATTTACTGCTACAGGCTCTCAGAGGAAAAGCTTAACTGTAACTGAAATCAGACAGCAAGTCTCATGCTGATGCACTTCATTAAGAAGAATCAGAAACAGCTATAGTCAGTAGAAAAAAGGAAAGGCATTGAAAAATATTTTAAGGTAAAGCTTTAAAACCAAAGTATTTCTCTTTTATAACACAGCACAAAAAGCAGCATTTCCTACTTGTAAAAAGATAAGGGATTTTGAATGAAGCAGTATATATTTGTATTTCAAGTGACAAACACAAAGTTTAAAAATCAAAATATTTTAATAACCAGTAACCTTTACTACATTTTGGACTAGCAACTACTCTACAGATAAAAGCCAGTTTAACATCTTGTGAAAGTTTTCTGCCTTGCAAAATACAAAGGTACATATGCTTATTCTATAATTCCAGCAATACAGATACAACACTAAATAAAATCTTAATGTCTTTTGACTATTTGAAGTCCTGTGCTGCCACACTGTACTATGCAAACAAATTATTATATGGAGTTACAGCAAGCTAGCATGCTTGAAATGTTTCCTCATTCCAGAGTTTATGGACTTCTACACTTGAACTGCTAGCTTAAAAAGATTACACAAGCAGTTTGGTATAAATGGTCATGTATTCATGTGATAAATTAACAGCATTGTTTAAAGCTGGCTATAGATTCAGCTACTGGACGATGAATAAACAACTTTTTAGAACAAATATACAATCCCAGAAATACAACTCACTTAAACTGCATTCACACTTGATGAGAATACATCTCTTCATCCAGATGAGAATAAATGTTCAAGAACAAAATCAAATCTCTTATTAAATGGTTTGCAGAATTTATTAGGTTTTTTTTTTAATATACTCAATTAAGCTAGTTGCATATAAAGTGATCTCCACCATATACATTACAATTTCTGTGCATCATCTAAAAAAAAAGTCACCAAAAAATAATATTTTACAGGTTACAGTTAACTTTGAATTAACCTAGAAGGGAACCCTTCTGTAATTTGATTTAAGACACTGACCTGCACATTGCTTCTAATTGCAATATTTAAATTAGGTTTCACAGCAAGCTCAACCTGCATTTCAATGAAAAGAGGTTACTTCCATTTCAGCTTTTGAATTTCTATAGTTTACTGTCTGAACACTGCAAAAGTTTAATGTGGTGCTTACCCCAAGTAAGGAAAAGGTATATGATAATTCCTTTACAACAGAGCCTGCTCAGAATACATATGCCTCAAAAAAATTAGGAAACTCCTCTAGTAAAAGGAATTCACTCAAATCTGTGAATGGAAAACACATTTTAGGTTCTTCTCAGCGTGGAGCTGCTCATAAAAAGCAAAACCAGGAAGCACAACAGGTAACCTAGGATTGGATATGACTTAAAGCGAAGAAAAATTAGAAAAAAAGCAGATTCTACCTGCAACAAACTTTTCCCAATTTAGAATAAACTTTAAAAAGGGATTCACAGAGAGTATTAACATAAAGGTTTTCTGATATCTTCACAGGATGCTAGTTTACTGGCCAGGCACATACATTGTAACTATACAAAGAATCCAGAGTGCTGAAATTTACATAGCACTTAAAGGATTTAACACAACATAGGTGGGTAGGACACAGGAAAAAAATATTTAACAACTTATATAAATATATTAAAATCTCAGCAAGAAATGTAAAAGCCCATGCACACAAGACAGTAAATGGAAAAACACTGAAGACTTGACTTTTCCTTCCAACAGCACTGACACCTGAATTCCAGAAAGTTAACAATTTACAGTATCTTATAACAGTCTTTCTCCACACAATCTACATGCACTGAATCATACCGACATTACACAGCACATGAACAAGCAGCAGATGCATCAAGGGAACAGGAGCTCAGTTTTTTTTGCCCAGTTAGAGGCAAATACCAGGAAAATTGTTTCTGACACAGGCAGAGATACAATCAATAACTAATTGTACACCCGTCATTTTCAAGAGTCAATCCACAGCATGGGAAATGAGCGCTTTAGATAAAAACTATGCACCCAGTCTCAGAACTGACAGAAGCAGAGATTTATCTTTCCAAAACTGGGTCCATTCTGGACTGGCCTTGATGCACATGCAGTACATTTGTTTTCAGAATGCAAGATTAATTGGGAATGTCTGCGCTAGTGTTTCGATTTCCATATTTGTGATGGATTATCAGCAATACAACTCCTAAGAAGAAGCATATGGAACCAACAGTGATGTAAGCAATTCCCAGAAAGGGATTTTTGCCTCCCATCCATGAGATGGTGCTTAAGATCATTCTTTTCCGTCCGTCAAAACTGTGTACAGGATAATCTGAAAAATATATAGGAAAACAAGAGGCACATTTCCAAACGTAGCTTTATGTGGTCAGGTACATTAAATTTTTTTACTGTTTCACTCAGGTCCCAAATACAAACTGCCTTATTTGAATACTGGAAGTGCAAATATGAAAAATTTAGCTGTTCTTTTAGGCTAAGACTAATTTGGGCACTGACAGCTACTCCAAGAAAACTGACACATTAGAAGATGTTAACGCCTTTTTAAGGGAAGAGTAAATGCACAATTTGGGGGTTTTTGCAAGCAGCTTCAATAAAATGAGGGAAATTAAATTTTAATTCTTGAATATATTTTAGTACAAGACTTTTCTCTGTGACTTTATGTTCATTCAATTTTATATGCACTCCGCACAGTTTTGCGGCAAAGGAAAATACTGCAGTAGCTACTTAAAGGATCATTAAGTGCTTTCAAATTTTAAGAATTTCGTAACTATGACAAGCCTCCTCCTCTAGTCTCCTGCACTTCCACCTAATCTTTGCTTTGTCCAAAGTAGAATGACAGACCTCCCCACCTGATCCATAGCTCTGGCATTATTCTGACCTCCAAAGTCAATCTGCCCTTGATTCCATATTGTCATTACACCCTGAAGTTAAAGTTCTCAAATTTCTAGGCTACAAACTACCTCTGTCCTTTCCTTTTTCCTGTGCTTCTCTCAATTCTTTTACAGCATGCAAGCATCTGATTTCTGGTTGCTTAAAGTCTCATCCAGCCTGGCCTTGAACACTTCCAGGGAGGAAGCATTCACAACTTCTCTGGGCAACCTGTTCCAGTGTTTCACCACTTTAGCCTCCATCCCACATACGGCAGCTACTGGGGACTGCAAGTACCCATAAACATCAACAAGATGTGTGAGAAAAAAAGTGAATGAGACTGATCACACATCTGTAAGAATTCAACTTAAATGTACAGAGAAGACACTACTGTCCTCCAAAATTTGCCTACTGTGTAAAATTCTACACTGAAATCTTCCCTGGGAAGATTTCCATTATCTCCTCACAAAGATGTCCTCTAAAGAGTTGATTTGTTTTTTTTTTTTAAACTGAGCTGATTTTTTTTTTTTAAAGTAGTTTTATATGAATGACAAAATAGCTTAAGAATGTTATGATCAAAACTGCACTTGTATTAAAGAGCGTAAGTCTAACCCATTTAACTTATGAAGCTTAGAAACTGGCGACACACAAGTTAATTCTATAAAAACTTGCACAGAAGTACAAGATGGTAATTATTCTACCCAATTATCACTAATAGTTTTCAACCACAGCTCCATACCATCTTTTTTTACAGATGGCAAGAAAAAAAGGCAAGTTCAATTTGAACTTGCACAAAGATATGCCCGTGTAAGCCAGTGAAGGCCCTTAGCCGCTTTCAAATTTTTCAAAGGATACTGTATGCAATGTCCAAAGAGTATTTTCCAGCCTGCAAGGTGGGCTGCAAATTATTCTTCCTTTCAATGAGACGATACAGCTTGCGAAACGTTGGCAGAGCAGCAGTACGCATCCACACAATGAAGTCCTCATTGATGAAGCCGTTGTTGTCAGGCTCCGGGTCCAGCATATACACTGGCTTGGGCCAGTTTACAGGTTTTGTTGTGCCTAGGATTAAACAAAAACTGTAAAAATAAAGTAATCCACATACAGGACTAAGTAACATACTAACTCATCAAAATGCATTCTGGTATTACAAGAAACCATACTAACTTTAAACAGTATGAACAGATGGGTTGGCTCACTACTATTGCAAGACACAAGGCTGTTCAAGAACTTTTTATTTTGCAGCTCTAATAGCAGTGCATATCCATTTATGCACTGTCCATTTGTTTAAACAAATCTGCCTCCTAAAAAAACACATTTATACAGCTAGGAAGTCTTGTCTCAAAGCATTACTTTAGTGAGATAGTTCTCCATAACGATGATAGCTCCTCTGCTGTTAAGACTTTGACTACCACTTCCCGGACCATGAGCAAATAAAATTATGTACAACATTTTACATTATGCCATACTAATGCTTTTGCTAGTTTTACTGGAAAGACAATTCTACAGTGTATTTGGGTAAGGTATCTGCTTTTCCAAGGGTAGTATCACATTGGTAACATATAATTTGGCTGTGACTAAGCAAGAAGGCCACATCAGGTTAAACCTGGAACCACAACATACCTTGCATACACACACACACACACACACACACACACACACTCACACCTTAGAGCCCTAAGGAAGAGTATTTTCAAGCATTGGTAGCCAAAGAAAAACTTTGATTTACCAAACTGTATTTGCCCTAACAAATGAGAGAAATCAAGTCACTTCTAATCACAAAAAAAGAATTAAGTTTTTAGAAAACTCCATAATCTACCAGTAGAAACAATGAAATGAAAACTTCATATGAAGAGTTTGATTGTCACTTCTAATCACAAAAAAGAATTAAGTTTAGAAAACTGCATAATCTACCAGTAGAAACACTGAAATGAAAACTTCATATGAAGAGTTTGATTAAACATTTGTAGGATTTCTTTTCAAGTTAAACCCAAGCATTATGGGATGGGATATCCCATGGCTGGGATAGAGTTAAATTTCTGCACAGTAGCTCGTATCCTGCTGTTTTGGACTTTGATGAAAACAGTGCTGATAGCACACTGACGTTTTAGTTATTGCTGAGCAGTGTTTATACACACTCAAGGCCTTTTATGCTTCTCACACCGCCCTGCCAGCTAGGTGGCTGGGGGTGGGCAAGAGGCTGGAAGGGGACACAGCTGGGACAGGTGACCCCAACTGGCCACAGGGATATCCCAGACCATATGACATCGTGCTCAGCAATAAAACTGGGCAGGTAGAGGTAGGCAGGGGCTGCGGCTGCTCGGGGCTGCGGTTGGTGGTGAGCAATTGTTTTCTTTCGCATCACTTGTTTTTCTTGAGTTTTATTTTCTTCTTTGTTGTTTGTTTTTACTATGTATTTTTTCAATTTTTAGTTTGTCTTTATCTTTATTTGTAAAACTCACTGGAATCTAAATGTATTTGAAGTGTTTTATTCTTCTTAAAATTTAACATCTTTTTTTTTTTTTACCTTGGAAAAGCGCAGTTAAGTTATTTCCATCTCCTGTCGGATTCCTGAACTTTACATTTTTATCTGTCCACCATGCAATGCCTTTTTTAATCAAAGTAATAGGAGTCCTTGTGTCATTATCAATGCGGTACAATTCCAATGTATCTAGGGAGAAAATCAAATTAGAAAACCAGCTGGAGAAACTTTCATTAGCCAGATGATCCTCACAGGCAGTGAAACAACTACCTCCAGGAGAAAAAAAAAAAAAACAAAACAACTGGACAAGGCATTTATTACCTGCCTGCCACAATCACAAGCTGTTCTGTAAGAATCAATGTATATTAGCTAGCAGCATATTATCCATATATGGTATCTATATGTCTACTTCATAGCAGTAACAGCTTCTCACAATAGGTATTTCCATCCTTTGTACGCTATGAGATTGAATTAATTCTGACAGCTATTTTAAAAAAGCAACAGCAGCACAAGATGTTTATTTTATTCCCAACAATGCAAATGTCTTAATTCAAAACAAAAAAAGCCCATGATGTCTTTACTCAGAACAATTTCCAACAACACAAAACATACACTGTATCATAAAAACATCTAAGCAACAACTTAAAACTGTGTTACCATACCATTAAACATGCTGTTGGCAATAGCTCCACAAGGAGCAATGGGTTTGTCCTCGTTTGTGCGGTAAGGCTCACATTCCTTACTTGGATTCTGATAGTTGGAAAGAAAAAAGGCAGATGAGCCTGCTAGTTTATCCAACTAACCTGGTTTTTACTACAGTACCTCAATAATGTGCACATCTTAAATGTATCACAAATTTATCCTTTCACGGGTCATGTTATTTACAAATACTTCAGCATGATTGATTTTTCTTTTACAAGTAGGAATAAAATCTAAATAAAAGACGAATAAAATCAGAATCCTATCATGGTCATACTAAAAATAAGGCTTTTGTTGGAAGCTATCAGAACTTTTTTTCTTTTTATCTTTTAATAAAAACAAATTTCCAACACGTAGTACTCAAGTATTCTTCTAATAAAGGGATTTTTTAAAATATGCATTAGTGTTATAGAAAATAAGGCTATAATAAGAGACCAAGCATAGCATAAAACACAAAAGGTTGCAACAGCTTGCCAAAAATGCAAGTAGAAAAAGACCTCCCCCCCCCAAACCCTGTGTCAGTCATTAGATGCAACCTCCTGAAACTCTCCCCTTTTTTAAAAGTTTACAGGTAAAAAGGAGAATCATTCTTGCTGGAGCAAGAACCCAACTGTATTTCCATTCCTCATAAAAATTAGGAAAAGGAGAGGTCTGGCCCTAAACGTTAGGCAGTGCCTTGAACAGACTATGCAGTACTGATATTTGCCAGTATCGCTGATGTTCAACATTGAACAAGAGTCTACAAAATCAGATGCGTTTAGCAGCAATATCCAAACCAAGCGCGAGGTAACCAAATAAAAAGGAAAACTTCAGACAGAATGGATACAGGTAGATACTGCTGACCAAAGATAACAAGACAGTTTAAAACTACTCGAATCTGAGAAGTGACTGAAGTACTGCATTGCTGTCTGCTTAATGAAATGACTGACATGAAATTTTACAGTATTTTACACAGTTATTTTCTGTAAACAAAACATGAATTCTCTAGGGTTCTTTTATGTTATGCAAAAATTCTAGTACCTCATTAATATTATTAACCTAAATACTCTGCTATGTGGTGATTTACGCAACAGTCAGAAGTCAGTTGCTTATTAATATCTAAGCAAGAATACCTACAAGTAACGAACTGTTGTCTCCATTTAGCTGGCTGTCATCTCGAGATTTCACGTAACGACGATGATTTTGATAGAAGTTGGAAAGTCCGTAATACATGAATACATTGCTCTACAAGAAGCAAGATGGGGCAAGAGGGGTTTTCATGCACACAAAGAACAGATCAATAAAACACACAAGTGCTCCATCATAAAGCTTAAATTTTAACCTCTTAAACTCTGTATATACAGCAGTATTCATAAAGTAAGAGCCTCAATCCTGTCTTCACACTGAGTACATAAGAGTACTATCCTAACATAAGCTGGCATCCTGAAATCAAACAGTATCAACGTGCCATTGTTATCAGAATAATATTCACCAGCACTAATCCCAACACCTACCTTGTCTGACGTTAAGCACATCAGCCTCAATTCTTGTTGAACTGCGTTTTTGCAAATCATGCAGGAATAGCTGACCTACTTGCCAGCTACACGACACATACAGTAAATCTAAGTGTGTAAAACACAAGCATTCGATTTTATGTTGTACATTTCCAAATAAACACAGGCATTAAAAATCACCTCTTCCCTGCTACTGAAAGGCACACAAAAATCAGATCACAGTTCATAGGAAAACTAAAAACTAAAAAGAATCCTTTAAACTAGGAAAAAAAAAAGGTAAGACTTAAGTGATACAGCTTTCCTACTGATTACGAAATAAACCACATTAACTGTTATAATTTAACTTTGCATACAGGGTAGCGTACCTCAAACGAATGTTCCAGTGTGAAATTGATGGTGCAAGTACAAGGCGGTGTGCTGTCCCAGGACACATTTAGGCATTTGTTGCAGGGACTAGAAGGCTCTGTTCCTGTATAGTCAATCTATAATGAAAAAAAAGTCATTCATTTACAATGGGAGAGTAAAAAAAAACTAAGCCGGAGAGTTGACATGGCATTTATTCTGCAATCTTATTACACCTCAACTCCAAAAGACCATTCAGGCCTATTTGATGATCTCAAGAGGTCCCTTCCAGCCTAAACTATGTTGTGATTCTGTCTATATGCTCGATTCCAGCCTCAAACAAATATAACACTGAAGTGGGTCGTTAATGCTGGGGGAAAACAAAACAAACAAACAAAAAAACCACACCAAAACACAAACAGTAAATACCCCAGGCAGCAGATGTTTCCAAACACACACACACACACACACGCTATGACAAGCAGACCTGAGCTTTTACATGCTTTTCACAGGAGTTAATTTTTTAAAAGTTTAGATATTTAATAAAGGATTGCATTAGAAAACTTGCTTTGCTGATATTTTTTAGCCATTAGTCAGAAGATTAAAAAAAAAAAAAAATCCCCAACAAACACCACAATGCCCAAGGACTCTCCTAAAATAGGGAAGATGAAGACACTAATACTGTTTTACCAGGAATGGTAAAATACCAGTAGATGGATAAGAAAGTTGAACAGTGTTAATCTGGCTTATACAATATTATCTGTCTTTAATAGTGTAGCTCAAAAAAAGCCACTACTGGAAATCTGTCCATACAGGCTACCTGGACAGTATGCATAACATGTCCTGAGCAGCCAGGATCCTGCTCACCCTACGGCCTAAGCCAACTGAAGTCACTTGACCACATTAGCTCTCTCATGTATAGCAGGGGAAAGCTTCTATTTCTACACTTACTATGAACTTCCTATTTAGAATTTAGACTCAGATTGGTGCAACATATAACAACTTATGACAACAAGCAGTTTAACAGCAGTACCATTGAAGCTACAACACCTATGTAGTTTTATGAAAGGCTGCTGCAAATGGTTTGCCCTGATTTATACTTGCAGTGAAACACATTATCAGGAATTAGAAGTAGTGATTTATGATCTGTCCTAATACCTGTATTAAGGTTAGCTAAAACATGTAGTTTCAAGGTTCAGGGAACAAGTGAAGCCTGTTTTCCTCTGGATCTTCTTCAAGGTCTCTCTTCCTAGAATTTCTTTGATATCTATTAAGCTGCAACCCTTCCCTTAGCACTTTATTAACATCTGCTCTGCTGCCAGGTTTCTGACAGATGAGACCTACACCCTAACAAGCCTAGCTAAAATGAGTCAGCTTCAGAAGCCATTAGCTGGTGTAGAGAGACAGATGATCACATAATCTTTGCTTCTGTTGCTGAACAAGAAATTGAGTTTATGCTGATCTAGAAACAGCACTACTGTAGCAGTGCCAAACAGCTGTTTTTGGCTACAGCAGACAGACAGACCACCACTGCTCTCAACAAACAATACATCTTATTTGTTCAAGGCTAATTTAGTGGGTTTATCTTCCTGCTAAAGGAAGCTTGAGCTTTTCATTTGGAAAGAACCTCCATATCCTGAGCTAGTTCTCCCGAGCATGGAGAAGTTTTAGATCGAGAAGAAACTCAAATACTCCAAGGCTACAAAAGACCTAAAGACATTACTCTTAAAAATATAATTGACTAAGTTCCGTGGAGCATGAAATTGATGTGCATTGAAACAGAGCCAGGCTTTTAACCAGTGCTATCAGCTTCAATGCTATCCAAGAGCTTTCCTGTACCGTACCTGCCAACACAAGTGTTTTTTTCTGCATACACATTCACAGATTAAATTCAGCAGAGAGCTTATTTAAAGTGATAGAGGTATCCATCTTTATCTCTTGATAAAATAACAAAACCAGGACTTTGAGAACTGAAGGACTGACTTTGGGATCCACAGCAGGAACCTGCCTGACCCAGCACTCTGTGCCCAAGGACTGGCCCGCAGCTGAGTATGACAAACCCATGCAGCGTAAGCCCTTCCCAGCAACCCCTGATCAAGGACATTGGGTATATCCAGGTTATCTGGCACCAATAGCTTTCCAGGCTGTTGATGTCCTTCTCAGCCGACTTACATGTTTGCAGTAGAAATAACGTTAACTATTGCATATACATACTCTCCAAACCATTTATGATTTTGTAGACTTCATACACTGTCACATATTTCTCCTACTTTTCTTGGCCCTTTCTTGTATAAAAAGTATCCCATAACTCTGGTCCTCTTTGCTATCCTTCCCTGTAGGTTTTATCAAGTTTTGTATCATTTTTGAGATGGGGCTACTGGAACTGCACACGACACTGAAGATGTGAGCAAGTTATTTACTTTCTTTCAGTTCCTAGTCATGTCTTAAAAGTCTATCTGGCTTTTTAACTACGATTATGTATTTCACAGCAGCAGGCACAGCACAAAGATCTCTATCCCACAAAATTAAAACTTGGATCTTCCTCAATTTTTATAACATATTAATATGCCCTGTCAATGCTTTTCATCTATTCTAAAAAAATAAAATAAAATAAATCAGGAAATACAGAACTCTCTCACCCTCTAGTAATGGGGCAAAAAGAGACATTTACACAGCCAATTCTCATTTTCCACCCAAATGAACTATTTTCATGATACACCCAAGATAAAAGGCTGTTTATACCCTTTGAAACAGTGAGGAAATGCTAGAGAAAAACCAAAACAAAACCCCTATAATTCTAATACACTTAAGCTGTTGGATATCTTCCACATTTGAATTCAAGAGAGCTTATAAAGGAAATCAATGGAAAAGCTACATTTTGCTGCTCCAGCCCTTGCACCTGTATGAGAACAGCACAGTTTGCAGAGATACTAATGGCTGTGATATCTAGTTCCAGGAAAGAGGGATTTAAACTGTACATATGTATGTATTTCAGGGGCATAAGTTATACATACTATTCAATTCCAGTACACTAAGTTTACAGGCAGCTATATATACACATACATATATGTACATACCCACATGTAACAAGGATGCTACTTGTCTAGGAGGTAGTTGTAAATAACCACCTCTACTTCCTCCCCTGATTACATTTTTAAAAGAGCTTAGTCACTGCCCGAGCTTCTAGATGTCTTGTCTCCCAGAGCTACATTTACAGCTATTTGTGAATAACATTCGGAGGTTACTAACAAAAGCCAGCATACTAAGCAGGGATATATCTCAGCTAAGCAATTAGGTGACAGCAGTGTCTTAAACTGCATTCCTCACTGGTGTTTGGAGCCCAAATGTTAGTCTGTAAAATGCTTCATCTGCGTTTTGTTGCTGAAACTGAAAAGCCTTTTTCGATTTAAACTTTTTTTTTTCCTTCCAAAATTCAGCTGCCTTTAGGATGATAACGTCACTCGCAGAATTTCTGCATTATAACACCTGATAGAACACCCATGAGGATCAGAGAACAGAACCCAAGTATCCCCATTCTCACCTGCGTACCCCGACTGTCCGATCACACTCTCAGAAGCCAAGAACTCTATCCCTCCTGTCCTCACTAAAGGCTTATGATCTGAACTGGGAGAGCTTCAGGTGAGGTGGATGATACAAGAGTAAATCCACACAGTAAAACAAACAAACAAACAAACCCTTTCCAATCTCTTAATTAGAAAGGGTGTAAGGCCAGCACCTGCCATCTGTCCAGAAATAACCAGCTATTACTGCTTTATGTACACAATCTGAGCGCGTAGGGAAGCACCAGCCATGCTCCCAGCTCACCTGGGGATTTTCACACTGCATGTTAGGTGGGAACATCTAGTTTTTGGCTTCGATTGGAACTTACCAGGAACACATGACTGAGCTGCTAAGCAACAATAGTATCTAAAAATTCTGTATATGCATACAGCTGCAATAAAGGCACAAGAAGTTGCTTACATTTTTGGACTCATGAAACCAATGCATTTCCTGTCCTTACAGATCAACACAGATCCAGTCATAATGGGGAAAAAAGGAGATATATCCAATTATATTTACCTTACAATCACTATGATCTACGACTTTGTACTGCTCTACTATAGAAATGGCTATTTTAAATGCACTTGTCAAAAAAATCAGTTAGGAAAGTTTTGGGTTTTTTTTTTTATTCCTCTCCATTGACTGCTTTGTTGAAAAGATGGGATTGTATTTACCTGAAATATGACTACAACATGACAGTGCACAAGTGTCCATAACAAACTCAGCAATGTTTTCTGAAGCACGTGTGTCAATTTTCAGATGTTCTGCATACCCTCAAACCTTGACACAGAAAGCAATTTATTTTCAAAAATATGCTTACATGCAACATTTGGACACTGTAAAACACAATTCAGCTTTGTTTTGTTCACATCTAATCTTCTCCTTGACTGGAATTTTAGTTCTTAATATAAAAGGGAAGAGAACCTTAAATTTATTTTATTATAATATTGTTTTCATTTTAACAGCAATATGACAATATAATACCATTCACTGTCTGTCTCAGGATTTTAGTTAATCAGGCTTCACTGTCATCTTGCTACCGCTAGCCAAGCCACTGACTTAAACACTACTTATTTGAAAGTGACAGCTTACGCTGATAACTAGAATGATTCGATGCACTAAAATTTCTGTTCTCCAATACAGCAACCCAACAAACAACTACACATTTTTTTCCTCCTACAATCCCGGTCACATTAGCTCACTGAAACTAATCAGAGCCATCAATTTGCTTTTCAAGGTTGTCCCTAAGCCCTTTGGGTCGTTTCCTTACGACACAAAGTGATTCTGTGATCAAATGGACCTCACTGTAACATACAGTTTAGTTTTCACTTAATGCTCAGCAACTTTTCACGGCAGCGGTGTGGTTAATTATCAGATGTAAATGACTCAGGTTTTGTAAGTATAATTAGAAAAAGCCACATTGTTTGATCTCTGTTTCTAAGTTTAGTCCCGACGCCCTGGTCTCCCACAGACCATCTAACACGTTACATCAGTACTGCACATCGGAATTACAGCAACACATTCACCACCACGGAGCCAGTGTCCTGAAACTACAATTACTTTGGAATATTTAAAGACA